CTTTAGGGTGAAAAAATGATGAAAAAATCGCACAGCACGCGCGTGCAAACCACTGCCGTCATTTTTGACGGTTTAGGGGGTTTCGTGCATGTAAAAGTATATTACAAGGGGGTATGGCGCAATTTTTAAAATACAGGGGGAAAACGCGCAGATTTCGTATAATACTGGGGAGTTTGGCGCAATTTACCCAATAATATAATATAGGATATAAGATGTCTAGAAATTTTTGTATCTAAAAAAACTTCTACAATTTTGAAACGCCACGTTAGATTTTTGAGGCTATGTGGCAATAAATTAGAACAATTCATGTATCATTAGAGATGCTCTTAATTGGGTAACTTTGGGCTGGATCTGGAGTTTTCTTCTCCATTTTGGGCTAGGGACGTTGTTTGTCGAACAAATCCGAAGTCCCTCTACTCTATTTTACAGAAATCGAAAAACTCGATTTAATAATGCGCTACATTTTTACACTTTAAATGTGAACCACATTGCACGCGATAATATTTAATGCGCAACAATTTTTTAAAAAACAATTAATTACTTTTAATTTTTAAATATTATTTTAATAAATATACATTAATAAAATTATTTATTTTGTTAATAACTTTACACTTTAATTTTATAGTTGTATTTAAATTTTATTTTGTACTAATATTTCACGTAAGTAAAATGTATCTGGAAAATCGTGGGACAAACCACATATTATGTCTAATTTGAATAAGAATTTTGTATGCTTATTTTATTTATCAAATTTTATTACACTTTAAAAGTCCAAATAAATTTCATTTATAAATAATTGGTACACTTTTTGTCAATTTTAACCCAACTTTTGAATATTAGTAAACAAAGTATAACCTTGTCTAATTTTTTACAACACGAACCCAAACCTCGTCGGCGGCGATACTTTTGTCAATGTGTTCGGCAGAGGCTTCTATGTGGAAAAATATTCTTGCAACGTGGTATTTTTTCATTGGCATTGAAAAACTAAACAAACACATTGAAAATCTCGGTCTTCTTCCCTTAAATCCCCAAATTCATTGCATGAACAAACCCTAATTTTTCGATTCATTGCAAAATAATCCCCAAATTCATTGCACAAACAAGTTGAAAATCGCGAAGACTTCTTTTTCTAGTCAGGGCTTGCACGAATTAGTTCATCTTTCCGTTCAATGGGGCTTTCAAGCCCTGCCCGTGTGCTTTACCCGTAGGGTTTTTTTAATCTCAAAACCCAAATTTTCCAATTCATGGCCATCACGAACCTACAGCAGCGGTTGCCGACATCTCTGTCATGGAAATGGAGCCTCAACACCATAATAGAGAAATAGACTTCATTCGGTTTTGATTCAAGCTAACACAACGAGATTTGCCTCCATCTATCTTGAACGGTCTCCAAATCTACAAGAACTTAACGCCGAAAGAGGGATTTTCACATGAAGAGCCTATGATGATTAAGGTAATATATGGGTGAATGTGATGAACAATAATTGAGTATATAAGAGTGTGTAGTGAATGTAAAAACATAACTGACATGCCACACGGTGTCTTGTTCCCTAAGTCTGCCCAGAGAGTTGACCTTGCTGTCCTACTTGTCCGTTCGTACGACCTACAGTGTCTTAGACTGTCGGACTTGTCAATGTGCAGACGACCCAATACCCGTTGTGGCACGTGGTATAATCATCTCCTGTAGTAGTTCCCCGAGTGGTTGCCCTTTTGTCTTGTCCTAAGACCATATCGACATCATCAGGTAGATATTCATTAGGTAGTACATCTTCTCCTCCCAGCTCCCATTACTATCAATGAGGTCAAGTTGACCTCTTGGTCGGACAGGTCGAGTTTGTGGTGAGCTCGTGTTGTGGTTGATTTATCCTCTCATGAAGTCATCATCAGCTTGGTTATCTCCAGGTCGATCTTTGGTTGTGGCTCGAGCTATCCTGTTAATCCGGTCTAACTGCTTAATTCATCTGGTTCGGTTGACCCGGTATGGTATCCCATACCACACTAGATCTTCGTGGAGATGGAGCACTGCTACATCATCGCCGCCAACACCGCTGAGATCCAACAAAATGGCCATTTCATTGTCACCACCGCCACCGCACACCACGACATGCTCAACATTTTCCTGCCTCCTCGGCCATTGATATGCTCAACCTTTTTCGGCCAGGCCCAAGCTCGGGCTCCTGGGGGACAATAACGACCCGACAACCGACATATCGGGGTCCGACAACGCATACAACCCGTTGCCACTAAATATGGGCCGATGCTCAGGGCTTAGTTCCACTCTTTGCTGTTGGCCCAGCGGCGTCAAATCTTTCTTTAGTGGGATGGTGGGCGAGAGGTTATTGAGGGCGGCAACGAAGTTTTATGCTAGCGATAAGATTGATTTAAAAGTGAATTTGGAGATTTTTTGAGAAGAAGACTGGGATTTTCAGTGTGTTTGTTCAGTTTTTTCTACGTGAGCGAAAAAATACCATGGCAGCCAAAGATTTATTCCACATAGAAACCATTGGACACATTGATGAAAATATCGCTACCGACGGGCTTAGTTTCGGGCTGTAAAAGTTAGATAAAGTTATGTTTTATTTGCTAATATTAAAAATTTGGTTAAAATTGATAAAAAGTATAAGTTTAATTAAATAAACCTTTACTTCTTAAAACTGTTTAAAATCTGAAACATGAATACTTAGGAAAACTTAAGTTGATTGAATACTTAGGAATACTTTATAAAATCTCAAACTATAACATCTGAACTTCTAAAAAAATTGAAAAATCAACTTAAAAAATCTTTAAAATTTCTAAAAGCATACACCTTTTTTTTTT